TTGTTGTTGTTGTTGTTTGTGTTTATGGGCATTATTAAAATTTACAGTTTCATAATCAATGTTAAATGAACTTATTGGAATGACATAGGCTATAGTTTTATATTTCTTTTTATTTTGTGTTATATACAAGTTAGTAGATGAGTTTAAGAGTTTATTGGAATAAACAAATCGTCATTTTTTAATACAGTCATCACAAAAGTGATGAGATTCGATTGACTCATCTGCAAGTCTTCGTAATGTTGGTATTTGGAGGAGGTGTAGTGGTTTATTTGACTGGTAACATTTATAACAACATGCTACATTTTTACTTTTTTCCAGTTGACGCCATTTTTCAACTCTCTGGTATATTGATAAATTCGGATGAACTGTTTTTAAAAGGTGTTCTGGAGAAATGTATTTTAAGAGAGGTTCCATAAAAGTATCAAAATTATGTAATTCCATATTATCGAAATCAAAATTGGCATTCATTTTTTATCTAAAGGGTTAGGTTTTCAACGATGTTTGAGGTTTTAAGCAATTCTATAATATTTTTTTGTATCTCTTGACTTTTATAGACATCATTCAAAATCAATGTTGGATTATATGAGTGAATAATTTTTCTTAAAATGTGGCGTACTTTATCTCGTCTTTCACAACCCCACATTAACATCACACACATTGTCACGGTTACAATGATACCATACATAGTAGGAATGACACTGTATTTATCTCGTTTAGGCAAACGTGTAAAATATCGGTTAGAAAGATATTGAACATATCTTTTATAATTGAGTTTTGATTTAGATATTTGTTTAGAAAAGACATCACAGATATTTTCGGAATGAAATACTGGCATCGGTTCTGTGATTATAGAATATATATTTAAAGAAGGAAGAAAAAGGCCTCCGTAATCAATTAATTTAATTCGATGAATGTCATCATTGGATACAAATACATTTTGAGGATTAATATCGTAATAAGTACCTGATATATATTTGTCAGTAGTATTATATAAGACTAATTGAACATCAATAAGCTGTCTAAGAACTGTAGTAAGCAATTGTTGACGACAATACTGATCATTTTTCAATAAGTCGACTTTTTTCCTTAGTAGGATCCAATCGCGTGGGTTTAAGTATTCCATTTCGATAAAGTAGCCTATAGATTTAGATTTGAAAGGACATTTATACTCAATATTATTCAAAGAATGAGGAACTTTTGTAGGTTGTGATGACTCTAGAAATTTACCTTGTGGACAGTGTATTACATTATAGGCAGTTTCGACCATAAACACACGATACACTTGAACAAAGAATGCCTTTCTGATATTTTCATCAAGACGTGCAATGTTTTCAATCTCCATTAAAAAATCCCTTTTCCGGCGAAAACTCTTTCGAGCCACAAATGTTTGTAGATACTTTTTTCCTCGTTTGTGCTTCTTCTTAGAAGATTTAAAAAGTTTGGAAGCCGTGTGTGGGTAAATATTTTGAAACACATGTATTTGATGTGGTAATCTAGGATCAAGAAGTTCAATAGTAGGTACTTGGACAAGATCAACTTTACCATAGGCACCTTTCCCTAAATGACGTTTGTGGGTATTAAATGTAAAACGAATATGATTAGATATTCTATTATTTAGTGTTTCACATTCATCAGGCTTAGTCAATTTGTTTTTCCCCTTAATGACTTCCATTTTTTAATTATTTATGATATAATCCCAACTTGAAAACAGATACCAAACCCAACTCTTATAAGTCTTATGAAATTTTGATAGAAGGTATAAAAAAAGAAAAACGTATATATATTAAATATATCAAACTATATATAATACAACAGTTTTTGTTTTTCATATATTATAATACAAACACTGTCATGACAAATACAACTGAAAATATTTGAAGTAATTCACAAACTATTGGACTGAAATGGAGGAATTTATCAAGAAAGGTAATCAAACATATCCTAATCTCTTAAAAATATATTCTTTGGCAACATATATTAGAAGATAATTATGGACTGTAATGGTATAACCAATGTTTCTTTCTTCTTTGTAGATAACTTGGAGTTTATTAATGGAGACATTACTGACCCTGTATATAGAAGCCCCAATATAGCGCTTGTACAAATACTCAACTGTGTAGCTGTTAAATCTCATGGACTTTCTCAGATTCTTGCTGAGATATATCCATACTGTGGTTCTTATACACGACGCCGGGCAATAGGCACTTTAAACCGTGCTATGCTTGAAGATAGACCTCAACCAGGAAATATTGAGATTTGTCATCCTAACACTGTAACAAAGGGACCAGTAGTTATAAATGTTTTTGGGCAGTTTTATATGGGGAAGGAGAAAAATCAAAACCTTTATACTAAAAGACTCATACAGCAGTTACAGCAGTCGTGTACTGTTGATGTTGGACCTAAAGGAAGAAATCCTAGACATTTAGAACCTTTCGATCATCAACTTTTATCTGGCCTTTTAAAAGCTACAACCCAAAACAGGATTTATTGGTTTAATGAAGGTCTAAATAAATTAGCAGTGCAAGTATCTAATGGAAAATACAGTTTGGTAATTTTTCCATCGTTAATTGGGTGTGGATTGGCTGGTGGAAACTGGGAAAGAGACTACTTACCAGCAATTATAAAATTTTCTAGACAGGTCTACCCCTTTGGTGTCAGAGTTAAAATTATAAACAAAATTATGTCAAAGACATCATAACAATGAAAAGAATAGTTAAACCTCCTAATTTATATATATATATTTTTTCATAGGTCCCCCCCTTGACCAAAAAAAAAAAAAAAAAAACAGGACAGTGTCATTAACATAAATAAGACGGACCTCCACCCTCCCTGGTCAATTGTTGTTGTGTGATGATTTAATCCTGACAACAGAATGAACCAGTCAGTGGGTTTAGATATGTTCCCTAAAACTTTATGAACTGATTGAGGTGAGAGAGACCATAGTTACTAATTGAAGAAATTTTATCTCTACCCTTCTACCACTACTGCTACTACTACTTCCATCCTACTCTTATTTACCATATCACTTTTCAGACATCTTTCTACACACCAAACCCGAGAAAAGTGTTGTTTTTTTTTTTTTTTTTTTTTTTTTAGAATAGTTAACTATGGAATAAAGAGCTTTTTCCCCTTCCTTACAACTCCATTTCTTCCCCTTTTTTTTTAATTAATATTAATGTTATCTTTCATATTTCTTCTAGGTTTAATATGGAATTATTCCTGGGGAAATGTCCAAAGAGAAGACATTTAAAAAAAAATATATACAAAATATCAAATTAAAAAAACTCAAGAGGTTGTCAACTTTTTTTGACTTGTAAGATTTCTCCTACAAGGTCAAGATTACAGCAGAATATCAAAGTGAGAAACATCATAGAAATTATGACAGAAGCAGAAAAGGCATCATTAACTATTATATTTAATTGTTCACCAAATATCAGATCAATTGATACTGATATAAATCTGTTTGAAAATGAACATGATTTTAGACAAGACGAGTGTTTTGAAACTAAGAATAATTCTACAGTCCTGGTTAAAATACCATTTTTGAAAAAATATCAAACAAACCTGGTGTCCAACCGACTCTGGGGACCTGATAATAAGGACGTTGTCATTGATATATCAATTAAACACGGTTCCCTTAAAACTATCAAGAAAAATGTCATTCGTCATCAAATTGTATCTTGCCCCATTTGTTTAGATATGAATGGGTCAGGTGACATGGTTTTTATGTTTGATGATTATATGGTTGGATGTGGTCACAGTATTTGTCCTCAATGTATGTTTACATTATCAGCCAAAATTTTGTTGGGTAAAAAATCTACAGGGAAATTTGATTATAATAATTATGGCTGCCTTAGATATATGAATAATTCTTATGGGATGTACTCTTTTTTATCAAATATTATCTACAAAGATGAAATATTGTGTCCACTTTGTAAGCAAATAGTAAAAAGTGTGTTTGTGTTGAATATGCATCATCTAAAATGTAGCATTAGGGAATTTTCTCGTAAGTATGCACAAATCTTATTTTGGGGTAATCAAACTGACAGGCTGTTTTTAGAAGCCGCAACTAGTTTTATATATGGAGTGGAGCAATTGGCAGTCACTGATTTGTATATAGAAAGATATATTATGGAAAACAGTTGGATTTTTGACGAATATGTGACACCAGTTACCCTATACCTTAACTTTAATGAAACACTTTCAGAGATGAAACTTGTTTTTAAGAGTTTACAGCCATATTTATTAAAACTAGCCTCAAAAAATTCTAATGATCCATCAAATAGAAAATACTTATTATTCTTTAACCAACTTTGTCATAGAAAGGGGGGTGAACCAATCCTGAGACCAACATTCATTAAATAAAACAATTAAAAAAAATGTTTTTTTGTAAATAAATGTATATGTATGTGTTATTTGTACCTCTGTTTGGGTTTCAATCAGAGGGCATCAATTTCTCAGGCAGCAACAGGTACCACCTAGCGTTCATATTCATATGACAACCCAAGGCCAGCCATCACCACTTCAGTTGCAAGGTCCACCGCAGGTACAGTCACAGTTGCCACCCCAGGGCCCACCTCAGGCACCAATGCTATAAAAACTCTAGTCCGAAAAGTTAAAATGTCATCCTTACCACATTTCCATATCATATTTTTATTCATTTTATATATATATATTTTTTCTTTTTTTTTGGATAATGATGATGATGATGCTGATGAGTAGGAGGAGGGTGTAATTATTTATTTCTTATGTTTTCTCATTTGAAACTGTGTTTGGTTGAAGTTGTAGCTGGTTAGATACATTATCCAAATCTGTATCTACAGTATTTTTTAGTCCAGTGTGAGCGTGTTAGTTTGTGCTCGCAGAGTATATCAGAATCCTAAAACAAAGAAAAAAAAGTGTCCTTTTTTTGTAAGTAAGTATATGAAACATATAAATAAATAAATAAATAGCATACACCTTAACCTTTTAAGTTAATGTGTTTTTTTTTTTTTCAGAAGATGGGTGAGAGGGAAAAAGGTAAGAAGATCTTTATGCAGAGGTGTGCACAGTGTCACACTGTTGAATTAAACGGCAAGCACAAAACTGGACCCAATCTAAATGGCCTCTTCGGCCGCCAAACTGGTCAGGCTTCTGGCTATATTTACACTTATGCCAACAAGGCCAAGAGTATCACGTGGGACAAAGATAATCTGGATATCTACTTGACCAACCCCAAGAAATTTATTCCAGGCACAAAGATGGTGTTCGTTGGTCTTAAGAAGAAGAATGAGCGTGCAGACTTGATTGCTTACCTGGAAACCTCCACCAAGTAGAGCAAGCATTAATATTTTTGTGGTCTCACCACTTTAAATCAATAAATCATCCTGCTATCAAAATTTACTAAAAAAAAAAAAAAAAAAAAAAAAAAAAAAAAAAAAAAAAAAAAAAAAAAAAAAAAAAAAAAAAAAAAGGCCAGTAAAAATTACAAAACGTTGCTCAAAGAGTGGAGGAGACAGCTGGTTGCCCGGAGTAGATGGAAGCAGTATCAGCTGAATTATATAAAAATCAAGTAGTCGCAGGCTACTCTCACATTTTACATCCACTGACGGCCAACCAACACACGCTTCGCTACTCTTCCATCCAATAGAAATTTAGTAGCCACATTCTTACTAATATTTGGAATATTCAGGTGTACAAAGTGTGATGATATATGTTGTATTAGGCTAGGAAACCTTGACCGAATTTATCATTTATATTCGGCGAAGAGCGAATTAATTGCTTGAATAGTGGCGAAAGAATACGGATCATTTTATGTAGAAAAGGTAAACTGCGTACTTTTCATAACCCGAAATCCCCATCTCTTTATGGACCTCATTCAAACGGGAGAAAAGGAAGAAATCTGTCATTTTATTATAGAAGACGAAGGAATCATCATCACCACCACCACCACCATGTAAAAGCACCTACAACCCAAATACTTTGCAGGCAATGTGCGTCAATCAATTTGTGAATTCCTTTTTGGATATTACTAGAATGGGATATTGGACCATGGCCTGCTTACGTAGAGCAATCAACACCAACCGTGATATTCCTCATTTATTTAAACTCCAATTAATCAACGAAGTTCAACGGAATCTAATGATTAGATCGTAGGAAAGAGCAGTGGCAGATGAATTGAATCAAAACAATTTTTCAAAAAAAATCACCAGGCCTTAGAGAGAATATCATTAGGATGTTATGATTGGTTGTAACAGAATAAAAATCTGGAGAGGATTGAACAAACTGACAAAACCATTAAAAAATATCTCTCATCATTATTTCATGATAATTAAATTTAATGTGGGAATCATTAATATTATCATTTATTAACTTGAATAACTTATAAGCTATAAATAAGTATCTTATTAGATTATGTCTCAGGGGTAAATAATGTAATCCAGGAATTTTTTTGGTGTTAAATTTTTCATTATTTATATGTTCGATATCTATATTAATGAAAAGTTCCTCTTTTTTGTTCATATTTTTTTAAATCCTTTAAATATTCAATTCTAATACTTTCTCGAAATGATCTGCCCTAGCAACAAATAGGGAATTAATTATTGGCTAAGATTTATTGTCATATGAATTTTTTATTATATATTTGTGATAGAATTTAATCAAATAAATCCCAATAACATATGGTCTTTGTTTCAAGGTTATCTGACCATGGCATAGACAAACAAAGACTACTTTTTTTTCCGTAGCATAACATGTCGATGTTAATGTACTATTAGATCAAAGACTCTAAATCCTACCCCCTTCACCCCCCTACACATGATGAATCTTATACTATACTATAATGTAATGATGCCCAACCAATTAATTCACATATCATTCTTTACATTAGAAAGGGAACTTAAGTGACTGACTGGACTCTGGCCGATGGTAGATTTAACCAGTTCAGTTATCATTTTCTGTATTTCAGAGTTACGTACTTCTTCCGTTAGTCGCAAGGCAACATTTTGTAAATGATCCACACTATCTTGAAGCCTCGACAATTTAGTTAGCACCTCAATAACAGTTATATGGGTGGTTAATTCATGGTTGATGAGGTAGAGTGCATCATGAGCATCAATATCCTCAATCCTCCCATCCATCCTCTTAAGGTCGGCGATTTTCTTATCAAGGACCTCATCGATGGCTTTCAACCCCAGGGGAGCTCCTTGGAGTGTGCTTTCTTCATGTTTAGTTTTATGAATATTTGGCAGAAGACCCTCTATTCTCTCTACGATGCAGTGGTTGGAACATATTATTTCACATTTAGAAGGGTTCAGGGTGAGGCCTAAAACTGCACCTTGCTCCTGGATTTTTCTGATGTCATCTAAGAGGGAGTCTTGGGAACCAGCTAGGGTACCATCATCCAAGAACCAGATGTTAAGCTCGCTGGACAAGACCTCTGTGACTTGTTTGATGACTAAGCAGAAAAGGAGAGGAGCAAGGGGGTCACCCTGTTGGACGCCTTTTCGCGAGTCAATTTCATGTTCGCCAAAAAGTAGCTTAAGATCCATACTGTAGCATGAATGTACAAAAGGGTAGAGGGAAGGGAAATGACTATGAACCGCACGGAGTACAGCATCCCTCCGCACCAAATTGAAGGCATTTTTTAAATCTAGCTTGATAAGGGCCTTTTCGTCTTTGATGTTGGGGATGAAGGCTCGAGCTGCATGGGCTGCCGCCTCACACCCTTGTGGAATGCCGAACCCGAGCTGTTTTGGTTTCAGCATGTTGGCCGCTGCATCACTAACTGTTCTTGCAGCTGCTTTGCGACGAGACGCCGGAGGGAATTGCCCACAGCTATTGGCCTGATCCCTCCATCCTTTTTCTTTAGAGCACAGAGAGATGCTCCAAAAATGATAGGTCTTATGGTCGCTGGTATGTGGCCAGCTAGACATGTGTTGGTGAATCTGGTTAGTTCCACCAAGAGGTTCTTTGCAATGTCACCCAGTGTAGGGTTGAGCATTTGCTTGAGGTGGTTGGGTTTTAGTCCTGTCAACCCACCTGCTGATCCTGTTGGGAAGGACAAGGCTGCTTTATAGACCACAGATTCAGCCACCCAGATAGGTTCTGCTCCGGTAGCCCCCACTTGTACAATGTCGTCATCACGCGGAGCCCTGGGTGGGTGTTTCTCCCTTAGGGCTTGAGCTGTTGCGGCATCTCTGTCAGCAATTGAGTCCTCTCTGGTGATGACTCTTATTGCGCCAATAGTGTTTCCTTCTTCTATTTTCTTGGTGACTGATGTTCTGATTTTTGATGTCTCGGATATGGCACTGTTGCTCTTCCTGCCGTGGGTGTTTCTCGCGCGAGTGGGAAGGCGCACCTGGTTGTCCTCCCTGGGAAAATCATTTATAGCTTTGATGACTGAGTCAGCTAAGGTTCTTTCTCTCCTTCCAGGGGTGGCTAGACATATGTTGCCAAACATTAAATATATATATATATATATATATATATATATATATATATATATATATATATATATATATATATATATATATTTATATATATGTTGTACCTAGTAGCCAGAACGTCGTATTCGGCCTACTATGCAAGGCCCGATTTGCCAAATAAGCCAAGTTTTCCTGAATTAATTTATTTTCTCTAATTTTTTTCTAATGAAATGATAAAGCTACCCATTTCATTATGTATGAGGTTAATTTTTTGTTATTGGAGTTAAAATTAACGTAGATATATGACTGAACCTAACCAACCCTACCTAACCTAATCTAACCTATCTTTATAGTGTAGGTTACGTTAGGTAGCCGAAAAAGTTAGGTTAGGTTAGGTTAGGTAGGTTAGGTAGTCGAAAAACAATTAATTCATGAAAACTTGGCTTATTAGGCAAATCGAGCCTTGCATAGTAGGGTGAGAAGTGTGTTCTGGCTACTAGGTACGACATATATATATATATATATATATATATATATATATATATATATATATATATATATATATATATATATATATATATATATATATATATATATATGTCGTACCTAGTAGCCAGAACGCACTTCTCAGCCTACTATGCAAGGCCCGATTTGCCTAATAAGCCAAGTTTTCCTGAATTAATATATTTTCTCTATTTTTTTTCTTATGAAATGATAAAGCTACCCATTTCATTATATATGAGATCAATTTCATTTTATTGGAGTTAAAATTAACGTAGATATATGACCAAACCTAATCAACCCTCCCTAACCTAACCTAACCTATCTTTATAGGTTAGGTTAGGTTAGGAAGCAGAAAAAGTTAGGTTAGGTTAGGTTAGGTAGGTTAGGTAGTCGAAAAACAATTAATTCATGGAAAGTTGGCTTATTAGGCAAATCGGGCCATGCATAGTAGGCTGAGAAGTGCGTTCTGGCTACTAGGTACGACATATATATATATATATATATATATATATATATATATATATATATATATATATATATATATATATATATATATATATATATATATATATATATATATATATATATATATATATATATATATATATATATATATATATATATATATATATATATATATATATATATATATGTCGTACCTAGTAGCCAGAATGCACTTCTCGGCCTAATATGCATGGCCCGATTTGCCTAATAAGCCAAGATTTCATGAATTAATTGTTTTTCGACTACCTAACCTACCTAACCTAACCTGACCTAACTTTTTAGGCTACCTAACCTAACTTAACCTATAACGATAGGTTAGGTTAGGTTAGGTAGGGTTGGTTAGGTTCGGTCATATATCTACGTTAATTTTAACTCCAATAAAAAAGACCTCATACATAATGAAATGGGTAGCTTTATCATTTCATAAGAAAAAAATTAGAGAAAATATATTAATTCAGGAAAACTTGGCTTATTAAGCAAATTGGGCCTTACATAGTAGGCCGAGAAGTGCGTTCTGGCTATTAGGTACGACATATATATATATATATATATATATATGTCGTACCTAGTAGCCAGAACTCAATTCTCAGCCTACTATTCAAGGCCTGATTTGCCTAATAAGCCAAGTTTTCCTGAATTAATATATTTACTATAATTTTTTTCTTATGAAATGATAAAGCAACCCTTTTCTCTATGTATGAGGTCAATTTTTTTTTATTGGAGTTAAAATTAACGTAGATATATGACCGAACCTAACCAACCCTACCTAACCTAACCTAACCTATATTTATAGGTAAGGTTAGGTTAGGTAGCCAAAAAAAGCTAGGTTAGGTTAGGTTAGGTAGGTTAGGTAGACGAAAAAACATTAATTCATGAAAACTTGGCTTATTAGGCAAATCGGGCCTTGAATAGTAGGCTGAGAAGTGCGCTCTGGCTATTAGGTACGACATATATATATATATATATATATATATATATATATATATATATATATATATATATATATATATATATAAATATATATATATGTCGTACCTAGTAGCCAGAACGCACTTCTCAGCCTACTATGCAAGGCTCGATTTGCCTAATAAGCCAAGTTTTCATGAATTAATATATTTTCTCTAATTTTTTTCTTATGAAATGATAAAGCTACCCATATCACTATGTATGAGGTCAATTTTTTATTATTGGAG